GGGGATGACTGTTTTGGATATGTAAGCCAGACAAATGGTAATCACGTCAAAAAGAAACAAAACTGGATCTTGCATCATCTCTCTTGTCCTTCTTGCCGTGGTAGAGGATCTGAAGCTTTTGTCAATTTATCATGGGTGGAGCTTCAGTTTTTAAAAGTTAGCTTTGTTTCCATTTCCCCCTTCTGTAGTTTTATTATGAATGCAGCACCCCAGAAAATGCCTCTGGGATTAGCACTCTATTGATCCAGTTAATAAATGAACAGGAAGAGAATTAGAAGCTTGTAACTTGGGTGTCAGTACGGTGGGCTGTCCCACCAGAGCATGGGTTTAGATGATTGTGAAATGGCCTGTAGCAATATCGCTGCTCAAGTGCCCAATTGGATTTTTGGTGGCCTGCTGGACTTCCCAGGAGCTCTAGATCTGCTCTGTCTCCATCCTAGATGTCATGGAGCAACGTGCATTTCTGTTCAAATGTGCTTGGAAGGCTCTCTCTTTCTTGCCACAGCAATGATTTGTCTTTCTCTGAGTGAAGTGTGTTAGTAAAATAAATCCAGAGTCATGTTACATGAAGGTTTGGGCTCTTAGAAGAGCTGCCTGCCCTTACAAGTACTTTGGTGGAGCCCAGGAGCAGGACTTTGGTTTCCCCAGGCGTTCCTTCTTCAAGGTTTTGCCAGCTTCCTCCAGGTGCGATGCTCTCAGTTGTTTTATGTGCAGATGGGACAAGTGAATAAATGTAGGTGAACTTCCAGCAAAATCAACACCACTGATGGTTTTTTTTTTCTTTTTTTTAAATGGAAGCACTTGTACTTTTCAAGGTTCTCTCAATATAGCTGGCCTGACATTTACTTACACACGGACATGTGCAGCTGATGCCACTGACTCTCAGTTTTATTGGACAAAACACAGTGAGGGAGAAGTGATGCCAGCTGCTATCACTTGTCATCTCAAGCTGTTTAGAAAAGTTCTTTTCTTTTTGAAAAGGCAAAACTATAATTTAAAAAAGCTACGGGTGGTTCTGCACATGTGCAGGTCCGGTTGAAAAGGATGACTTTACATAAATATGATGCCTCAGGATCACAGGAGTACCATTTCTTCTGGACTCTTCCCTCCCCAGCCCCCCCTGTTTTGGCCTTTGTCACTGTCTGTTTGAAATGTTCACTTACCATCAAAGTTCATTGTAGGGAAGCCTTGAAGTTTTAGCTTTTTCCTTGACTGAGTCTTTTTCTCTTTTACAGAAGTCTAGAAGGCACAGACTAACGTGAATGTATTTATGCAGATGTGGGTTTTTTTGATAAATGAAGAAAACTTTGGGGTTTTTTTTGTTACCTAGGCGAAGATGCATCTCTGCCTATAACGAGTGGAGGAAGCTACCAAGTGCTGGTGAACAATGTGTTTTATTTTACGCAGCGTGTGGTAGATAAGCTTTGGCAGGGCATGTTCAACAAAGAATCCAAACTTCTTGTTGACTTCATAATCCAGCTCATTGCACAGGTAACAATGTCCGTCTGTTAGCCTGTCTGCAAAAACATTTTTGCAGGTTACATTAAAATCCATGGAGTGATATCACTAGGCAACCTAGTAGCGACGCATGTCAGGTCAGCACAGAAGTACCCTTTTCTTCCCCAGGCTTTCTCTCTTTTTTGCTAGAGCTTCCCTAGCCCATCTTGTCAGTGTGGTATGCTTCAGTATGGGGCAGTTGAATAAAAACTGCTTTCAGATGATATTATTTTTTAGAAATCCCCCAAAATAAACAACAAAAAATACCTCACATGAATTTTGGGAAGCTTCCTGAATTTACCTTGACATTTTTGGGAAGCTTCCTCATGCACTTTCAATGGAGATCAGTGGAAGACTTGTTGTTAGAAATCAGCAGCGTCTTTATAGATGTTAAAATTGTAAGTTTATCATCATGTACTGATGTAATTTCAGTCACTGAAATTCATGGAATTGATGCTTTTATTAAAATACCAATTTTGAAAAATGAGCATGGGTCAATTCAGGGGAAGATTGTCTGCCAGTAAATTGATTTTCTGCTACTATCTGATCATGGTTTTTTTTTTCTTCACATCAGTCAAAAAGAAGATCTCAGGGACTATCGCTGGATGCTATTTATCACTGCCTGAACAGGACCATCTTGTATCAGTTCTCAAGGGCACACAAAACTGTTCCTCAGCAAGTGGCTCTCCTTGATTCCCTAAGGGTCCTTACTGTGAACAGAAACTTAATTTTGGGACCTGGAAATCATGATCAAGAGTTCATCAGTTGCCTAGCTCACTGCTTGATTAATCTGCATGTGGGAAGGTAAATATCTCAGATGGAAGTTCATTCCAGAACCAGGGCTGTGAGGTATTAAAATCACTTGTTCTCTCTCAGCAATGACACTCATCTTGCGAATAAGTCAGCAAATTCTGGATAACTGTTTATAACTTTCCATCCAGTGAAATGCAAGGATGCTTAAGTGATCCATTTTGAAACAAAACTAGGTTTGAAGAGCCCAGGTATAGAGGAACATTCTTACCTCCTTTTGCAGAGGTATTTAAAATACTGACACAAGTGCTTATCTAACCATTTGTTGTTATGCTTTGATAATTTGAAATATTTTCAAGGTAGAAAGAAACACTGATGCTAAGTAATTAATAGTCAAAGAGGTGTGTCACTAGATTTATTGTCTATTGAATCATTTCATATAAATGCCGTATCTTAGTACTTGGATGTATAGCATTGAATAAGTCCAGTCAGGCATTAAATCGGATGCCCATGACAAATGCTGCAGACACTCACTTTTCTGCATTGCTGCAAATGCCTGCCTGGCATTTTCGTTTCTTCTTTCCAAAAATATGTACGACTTGTGTTTCATCCAAAGACACTTGGGAAACAGCAGCAGCAGAAACCCTAATGTTCTCCATTTATGGCCTTGGCTGTTTTGTGTTTCTTCAAATATTACTGTCTTCCTCCAGCAAAATCAGTGTCCACGATGTGCCATTTTTCATAAACCTTCAGTTCAATTTGTGACTGCAGGTTATCAGAACTGAAGTGGACAGAAGTGAAGATATGTTGCTGTAGTAGCACGTATTAATCTTTGTGATACTGTCACAGGGAATCAAATGCTTTAGCTTGTATTTTTTTTCCGGTTGTTGTTAATTCATTGTGTATTCGTAGCAACGTTGATGGGTTTGGATTGGAAGCAGAAGCCAGGATGACAACTTGGCACATTATGATCCCCTCTGATATAGAACCAGATGGAGTCTACAATCAAGATGTCAGCGAAGGTAATCTGAGAGTGACAAAGCCACAGATGTCTGCTAATGCCACTTCTGTATTGTCATCACTAATCTTTTAACCCCAGTTACTCTTAGGGCTGGGGGGTGTGTGTATAAAAATATATAAAAAATAGATGAAAAAACCACTTAGAAATACCAAGACAGACATATCCAGGATAAGTTACTGCTCTGTAAAAATAGCAAGAGCTCTTCATTGTTTTCTGGACACGCACCAGAAGTAGAGATATTGCTTTATATGCATTGAGTTGAATGCAATAGAAATGGGTCATTCTATGTGTGCACCATGGTTTTGTATCATCTGGATCTTACATTAACATAGGTAAGAAATAATTGATATAAGCTGTAAAATTATTATTCAGTGGCATCCTCAGGATCATTTACTCAAAGGAAATTTATGAACTAGCTGTGGAAGAAAGGATTCAGTGGTTTGGGGGTTTTTTGGTTTTTTTCCCCCTTGTATATATTTAATATTTATGCAGGTGTGTACTTATGCACCCAGTCATATGTAAAAATATTAAACTGTAATGTATGTATGGAATTGCATATGTGTATATAGACACATACTTCTGTAAGATTTTCTTGAATCTCATTTTGTTAATAGATGTGGGAGAAGAATCACAACTAATCGGAGCCAATGTTTCAGATTCACAGAGAAAAAAATTGCCAAAATTAACTGTTAGGTACTTTCTGATAGCATATAAATGGCAAAAAAAGACATTCTGGCCGAAGGCACTTCACAAGTCATGCAAGAGGGCAAAAAACTAGAGTATAATTGCAGAAATTATTCAGTTCACTACTGTAAAAATACCAATTCTATAAGCACTGTAGAGAGCTTGCTGTTTCTGATCTTGTACCTATGCAGGTCGCCAGCTTCTTTTAAAAGCCATAAACAGAGTGTGGACAGAGCTGATCCATAGTAAAAAACAGGTTTTAGAAGAAGTTTTCAAAGTGACGCTACCTGTCAATGATCGTGGACAAGTGGATATAACTGTTGCAAGACCTTTTATTGAGGAAGCAAGTTTAAAGTGTTGGCAAAATCATTTGGGTAAGTGTAACTGAGGATTTCTCTGACCTGAATGGTAGATTTCCCTGAAGTGAACCACGTGCACTGGATGTTTTAATATGGGCTTAGCTTTTGTGTAGTGGTAAGTACTCTAAACTGTCACCATTTAACATCTCATTCAGAAACTGTACTGTGTATAGGATATACTTGCACTCCACTGCACCCAGGGCCGTTATGCAGCACTGTCAGTGGTCTCAACAGCGTCCTGTGTTTTGTGAGTCAGCATGCACCAAATAGCGTATTGTGGATTACAGTGGTGGAGTCATTTAGCTCCTTCCCATGAACACTTGGATTGGGGTGACCTGTGTTACCATTCTTAGGATTGGATGCACCAGGCAGGGAGGGGGACCCCTTTTGAGCATGTCGGGGTGCAGCCTGCAAACTCTCGGTCTGGTGATACAATTGGAAATATGTGACTGAACAGCCCTTGAGCAGCAGTGATACTATGACTTCTCCTTCGTGGCTGGGAAATCTGTTCAGCGTAGGAAGCAGCTTTGCAGGAAAAGGACCTGGGAATCTTGGTGGACAGCAAGTTAAGCACAAGTTAGCTCTCTGCCCCTGTACTAAAGAAGGCTAACTGTTGCTGGACTGAATTAGCGAGAGTTTAGACAGCAGGTAATAAAATTCCATGGACATGATTCCTTGGATGATTACACAGCTCTGAAGTAACTGAAGTTAACCTGGATGTACAGAAAGCATTTCTGGAAACTTGGAATACTTGTTTTTGTGTTCTTTGTATTTTTAGATGTGCTTTGTCCCTGGCTGAAGTTTGCTCAATTTTTCAGTATCTTACTGATAGTCAGTATATTTGCAGAAATGTTTTGAGTAGATTGAGGGATCTTTGGAGAAATTATTGCTATAAGAAAGTAGTAGTGGTTTTAAAAAAAGAAGAAGAAAGCTCAGAGGTGGAGTGAATTAAAGAAACAGTGAGGAACATGAGCATGTACTTTCTAAATCAAAGGTAACTGATGTACAGTACAATCCATTAGCTGAATATCAGGAGAATGTTAAACTGTTGAGAGAGTTGAATGAATCACTTGAGAGTGGTGGGGTTTTCTTTGGGTTTGGGGTTTTGGGGGTTTTTTTGTTTTGTTTGGGAGTTTTGTTTTGTTTTGTTTTGTTTTTTAAACTTCAGTTTCAAAGTAAGCACACCAGTCTTGTGGACTTGACTATCAACTGTGATGGTTGTATGTGCACAAAAAGGTGCAGTAGGCCCACCTAGCTCCTCTGCTCAATAAAGCGTACTTTTGCTGCCAGATTGGTTAGCAGGGTCATGTAGCTCCTTTTTGGGTGGAGATACAGTGCTCAGCTGTATTTTTTTTCAGTAGTATCTACTGTTTATAACATAAATTATATAAATTCTGTTATCTTTGTAACTGTTTTGAGAAAAAAAATATTTCTCCAGATGCTGTCTCCCTTCTTTGGAATGCCTACTTTTTCTTTAAGGGTTTTAAGTCAGCAAAATTAAAGTTGGAGAGGGTAAAGGGAGACTAGGTGATGATTTTGTTTATACATAGCTGGTTTTCACCTCTTCAGATGAGGACAGAATTCATAGCTTATGGACCCCAATTTTGATAATCGATAAAAGGAGTAACAAATCTGTTTGTCATGTTTCATTTCAAAATGCAAGCAATTTGCAGATTTCATCTTTCCTCATACAAGTCATGAATGTTTGATAAGAATGTGAGTGCTGCTGGGCACTCTTAAAACAAACAAGTAACAACAAAAAAAAAACCCCAAACACACAACACCCCCCCCCGCCCCAAACACCCACCTTTTTAAAGCATCAGAAAAGGTTATTCTATTTTAAAAAAACAACTATAGCAGGGGGAAGGGGGAAAAAAAAACCACCACCTAAAAAGTGCTCCCAATGGTTTCTCTTTTGTTTTTCAGCTCATGAGAAGAAATGCATCAGTAGAGGGGAGGCTTTGGTTCCAACCACACAGTCCAAACTTTCACGAGTTAGCAGTGGGTTTGGCCTCTCTAAACTAACTGGCTCCAGAAGAAACCGCAAGGAGAGTGGACTCAATAAGCACAACCTCTCTACACAGGTAATTTCTGTCAATTAATTAACATGCAATCTAAAATCCAGCAATGTATGTTCAGGGTTTGTGGTAAATATCCCAACGTAAGGAATCCTGCGGAGTGTGAAGTGATATCTGGTGCTTAGTTTTTCCCTTTTTGTGAATATCCAGACTGGGCATCTTGCTTCTGCGTGTCCTAATCTAGTAGGTGCATCTGCATATCTGTAACATTAAGCCAAGAGTTAAACTTTTTGTTGTTGGTGAGACTGCTCAGCTGCTTCTGGTTACATATATGCTTTATTGCTTTGCTAGTCTGGGTCTTAAATTCAGTTTGCAATACTGCTCTGAAATGGAACCTGTGAGATAGATGCTTGTCCTTTATTCCATCCTGCCCCTAAGATGATGTCATTTAGGAAAATCCTTATGAGTGTGTATGTATCATGACTAAACAAATGCTACTTTGCACTGTTTTTATTGTGCTACACAGAGGAGAGTTCAGCAAAACAATATGTGACGGTAGAACTGGACATTTGCTTTACAAACCTGCTTGCTTAAAAAAAATAATTAAAGAAAAAGTTAAACCAGAGTAGCACAGCAGTGGTGCTCTCAGTAGGACAGTACGTGGTGGGGCATTGCAAGGACTCAAGTATAAAGTACTTGAGGCATTGAAAACAAAGGAAAGGGAGGGTTTTGAAAGCTTTGGGGGATTGAGTTCTTATTGTTTTTAGCACTTGAAACATCGGGGAGATGTTGGGTCAAGGGGGGTAGGTGTATTCCTGCCACAAGGAAATGTATAACTCCTGTTGACTTATCAGGGTTTTGTGTCCTGTGAAAAAAATACATTGCCAGTTCTCTTTCTGATCTGAAAATTATTCAGTGGCTTTGATAAAATAAAGAATTCTCAGTGCTCTCAGTCCTTTTCCTGGTGAGCAGGCATACACATTAAAATGAAAAGGAAGCAACTCACAAACTGAGCTGACAGGAACCATTGGTGGCTGTATCAGTAGAGGGAGCAGTAAGTGAAAACAGGTATATTGCAGTACAGAGTGAGGAGTGCTGGGTGTCGAGGATTTCCAACAAACTAGGCAGCATCCACAAAATATTACTTAAAAGAAAAGAGGGAAAAGTAGTAATATTAGTCAGTGCCAATCTTTGGCTGTTTGGGAATGTTCTGAACTGTTAGTCATGTGTTTGGAGTATTTTCCAAATGTTTGCCAGTTTCTTTTAAAGGATATTCCTATACATGAATTTACTGCCTTTTAAAAAAAAAAAAAAAGAAGAAAAAAAAAAAGAAAAAAAAAGAAGAAAACACCAAACAAAACAAAACCTTAAATACTGTTGCATGCAATAGTTTTAAAGTGATCATCTAAGTCCTTCTTTTCTTTTATTGTTTGTTTTTTTGGTTTTTTGGGTTTTTTTTAAGAAACTATCCTTTGTGAGCAAGTTTAGCAAGGTGATGTATTCACAGGCTTTTCATTCAAACAAAATCTTTTATAAAATGTCATTCTGTCTGTCCTCTTACCTTTGCATTAGGAAATTTCCCAGTGGATGTTTACTCACATTGCAGTGGTTCGGGACCTGGTTGATATGCAGTATAAAGAATATCAGGAGGTATGGTTCAGAGGATTAATTACCTCACTCTGATATTTTGACCTGTTAGGTTATACCGATCCCATTTCTCAGTATGGGACTTGTAAAATATTAGGTGAAATATTGGTGAAATGCTTGAATGTTTAGATACAGTTGTTATTTTTAAGGTTTTTTTAAATGCAATCAAATAAACGAATGAGGAAGGTAATTTTGATCTGGTTGTAGATGAAAACTGTTGTAGCAATACTACATGTTAAATCTTAATTTTTTTTTTTAAGAAGCTTAAGTAGTCTTTTCTTAGAAGTAGTAAAAAAAAAAAGATTGGAAATATGCTAGAATATGCTGTCTTTCTAAAACATTGTACAAAAACTTAAGAGAAGATGCGGAGAAACATTGTGTACAAATGCTACTTTTTTTTTTAAAAAAATTTTATGGTACCTTTGCCAAGTCATGCAGCAATAGAAAGTGGCTGCTCCGTGCCATCCAGAATGAAATCACTGTACCCTGCAGTCTCTTCCAAGCATCCCCAAAGACCTTTGGTTCAAACTAGTTGCTGAGCTGTGTGCTATAAATCTTAAGAAATCGGCTTCTGAGAGAAACAAGTCATTGAAAGCAATTAGTTAAAAAAAACAACCACCAAACTTTGCTTCATATAACTTCTCTCTCCAGTGTAAATACAGGCAGGCAAAGCCTCCAAAACAATTTTTGTTTTCATTCTTAAAATCCTTTTTTAAAATCAGTGGATTAGTGTTGCATTTCTTTCATATTTGCCATTTAGAAATGCATTCAATTAATGATGCAAACCAAAAGCAGAGCTTTCACCTTTTTTTTTTTTTTCTTTTCTTGGGAAGATTACAGTATGAACCCTGCTTTTATGGTAACTGACACTGGAAATCTCATTAAGGTGTACTAGCAAATGCTACTAGAATTATGAATTATTTTTTTTTATTTTGTAATGTAGTGAAAATGTCTGCTCACATGAGAGACAGGCTTGAAAGTATCACTCCTGATGCATATAAAAATGTCTTTGTATTCAGCGTCAGCAGAATGCATTAAAATACGTGACAGAAGAGTGGTCTCAAATTGAATACGAGTTACTACGAGAGCGAGGTTTGTGGGGCCCCCCCATTGGCTCCCATCTTGACAAGTGGATGTTGGAGATGACTGAGGGTCCCTGCAGAATGAGGAAAAAGATGGTGCGAAATGATATGTTTTATATTCAGTATCCCTACATGCCTGAAGCTGAGCAAGAAACCAACTTGCTGGTAAGTATTCAAGATTTTATGATGAGTAATTTTATGCCCTGTTGTAAAATCTGTATTTTTTATAAGTTTTTCTTAAGAAACTTATTTTACTCTGTATTACCTGGTATTCTGTCTGTATGTCCTAAATGGTTGGTAAGGTCCAGTTGTTTCTCATAGTATATTTAGGGAAGGGACTGAATCACTCGGCTCAAAACTAAGTGAACTCAAAAACTAGCAATTGCAACATAAGATGAGGTGTGCTTGCATCAGCTAAGTGATCATGCCAGTGAACAGCAGAGGCATCTTCACAAGCCTGTAGAGGCTGAGAAGTACCATAACTATGGGAGGTTTCAGTCTGAGTTCTTGGCTTTATGCTAGATAACACAGTAAACAGTGATCTGGAAAAAAAGAAAAAAACAAACAGGCTACAGGCCTTGGTTTGGGTGCGTTTGTGAAATGTACTTTCATCCATCCGCGAATATGAACATGGGCTGTGTAGCAGAAGCACACGTGGCCTTTGAAAGCTTGGCAGTTAGTTCCTGTGAATTTTGGAACACCGTTTTTAAGAAATGGAGCAGTCTTTATTGTGTCCTTTTAGGCATGCATGTACGCATGCAGGACTTTTTTCCTCAAGCATGAGTGTCAAATTTCTTAAAACAAGCAAACAAAAAATAGCGTTTGACCACTTTTAAACCATTAGGTGTATTTGTCTGCTTGCAATCTGACACACGATAGCTGTAGTGACAGTAATTCACACGAAGTGGAGAACATGCCATCATACATTCTTCTCAAAAGTGTTTTCTCTGACGCTTATATAACTGATGCCCTGTTTTCAGTCTGACTTCTCAAGTAGACTTCCTGAGACATCTGATGATACCATTCCTCAAAAGGTAAAGAAACAAGTACACTGACTGAAAGAATGTAAAATAAATACAACTTTTTTTTCCTCCTGCATGTTAGACAATCTTAACAAGGCTTTTATGTTTGGCTTTCAACTTGCTCTTTCAGTAAATATTTCCAGGCCTAAAGGTTTTTTCAGTAATCACATTGGAAGATGTTACTGTGCCCTCCTCAACCTTCACCTAATAAAACTTTCTGTAGATCTTACCTTTGCTACACACTAACAGGCTGTGTTGGGCTGTGCTATCACTGTTCTCACTGTGTGAAGTGTTGTGGCTTTCGGATCTGAACTAATGGTCAGGGGAATATGTTTAGTAATGGGCAACACAATCACTTGGAAGCACTTACGGGGAAAGTAAGTGTCTCCTAAGAGAGGATCTGGTGAGCAGTTTTCCTCCTTTTTGGCCATAATGGGCTGTAACAGGCCTACTTTTGTTAGAGCCCAGATTAATTTTGTCTTAGCTGACTCTTCTCATTTTTACTATTAATGAAATATAGACATTTGTTTAAAAAAAATATGAATCCTGCATTGAAAACAACAGGCTTGTTTGGAAGTGGCTGCTCTGCAAGCGTTTCAGTATTATGCTGCTTCTCTGTTAATTACATTTGCAGTCTTGCCCATCACTAAGTACAATGTGTAATGTGCGTTCACTCATTTTGAGTTACTTTCAATAATAAACTAATACATATAAATGAAAATAATTCTGTTGTGCAGAATATCTAATATAACTTGTTACTGTTTTCCTTTCTTCATGTTAGCAGTGCTAGTTAGGATTTCTCTTTGTAGGCTATACATAAGTTGTCTCCACAGAGGATTTAAGCATCACTTAAGTGGCATTTTTGCAGTGATAACAGTGAAGACTTAGTTGAACATAAGTGAGCAAATTAAATCACAGTGCCTTAAATTTTTTATTTTGGGGGCAGCCAATTTGACCTGAAATAATAAATCTCCATGTTGCTGACTTTAATCTCTTCATCATCCCAAGCATCCACTTGTCATAAAGCTAGTTTGATTTTATGGGACATTTAGTTTCCCACTATAATATAGAGATGAACCAAAACAAACAAACAAACAAAAAATCGCATTTTATTTATTTCCAGTTATTACTGCAAAAGCAGACAAGGGAAAATCTTGACTGAAATGGCAGTGATATTCTACATATTGAAAGCATTGAACTGGATTTATAATAATAATATTTTGTAATTATCCCAACCTAATTTTGAAATTAATGGGAAATAATGTTACAAAACAAACAAAAAATTATTTGTGATGGAGAACTGAACACATTCACAAAGCTTTCTAGAGTTTGAGGGTGGGGTTAAACAGTAGTCGGAGAAGAAAATTTTCAACTGCAGTATAAAATCAACGGGTTTTCATCTATCCATGTGCGTCAGTGTGTTTTAATTTCAGAAAGTCTCTTGGCTCTTTAATACCTCTTTTATCTTCACCTGTATCTCCTGTGATCATTCTGACATATTTATTGTCCTCATTTAGTTCTTACTTCTATTTCGAATGTTACCTCCATAATCAAGTGGGTAACATAAGAATTAGCCTGTGATGGGGGTTTTAAAAAAAAAAAAAAACCAAAAAAAACAAAAAACCACCAACCAAAAACCAACCACCCCACCCCAATAAAACCAACCCCAAATAAATAAACAAAACCAAAAAAGCACCACACCACCACCATAATGAAATGTATCATAATGCGTTATCATCACCCAAAGGTACAAATGGTGCTTGAAGAATTACTTTGGTTAGATGGATACTCTTGTACCGGTCTCCTGCCCACAAAACATCAGAATCTTTACTAAAAAAGAAACAACTGAATTAAGAATTTCTAAGCCTTAAAGCTGGCCCCTGGCTGCTTTTAGTTTGTATCAACTTCCACGTATCTGTATCTTTCCTTGAGGCAATTTTTTATTGAAACTATTGCCTAGCAAAGAAGTCAGCTGGCTAATGAATAAGCTATGTATATTGTAGGGAGTTATGAAAGATGATAAAATGGCCATCTGTTCTATCAGTCTTAAGCACAAGTATTCCAGCCTTTTGTGACAGTTCATAACATACTGGCCACACTTCTTATTTCGCATGTCGCAGGTCTATCTGCAGGCATTTCTGCAACCCTGTTATTACTCGGGTGGCTGAATAGCTCCCTTGCAAATTAGGTGGCAGATTAGATCTACTGAAGAGTCTCTCTTTCTGTATGTGTTGGGGTGTGACTGAGCATGCACAAAACACTTCTTGGGCATGCACTGTGCTGCACACAGTATTCCTGAAACACATTCACTGAAGTGAGTGAGGAGTTGACTGACCAAGCAATTTTTTCAATTATTTCTAAGAAACCTGCTCGTTACCGAAGAGCTATAAGTTATGACAGTAAGGAGTACTACATGCGCCTGGCTTCTGGAAACCCTGCAGTCTTTCAGGATGCTATAGAAGAGAATACAGTGGGTGAAACAACTCAGCAGGAGCCAGAACACGGGGAGGACACTATTGCAAAAGTCAAAGGTTGGATTATTTGTTATGTCCTGTTCTGTCCTGTTTTCTTCAAATTTATCTGCCTTTATATCTTCTCATGCATTTGCATTAAGATAAGCATAAGGATCCTGTAGGACTCTTGTTTTTTTGTCTTAACACTGGATCAGTAATTTCAAAGTTCAATAGGTTTTGCAAAGTGAATTTTTTCTGTGTCAGGTTTCTATTTACCCATCTCCGTTCTTCTTCTCCAGGCCTGGTGAAGCCTCCGCTGAAACGATCTCGCTCTGCTCCTGATGGAGGAGATGACGAGAACCAGGACCAATCGCAGGATCAGATTGTTGAGGGGAGTTCGATTGATGAAGAGGAGAAGACTGACAATACAACTTTGCTTCGACTTCTTGAAGAAGGAGAGAAGGTGCTGTGTACTTCAAACACACTAAGCACTTACTGTATTGGAATTTCTGTATTACATGTCACAAGCGTGGTTTAGTGGGCATGGGGGTTTTGGGTTGATGATTGGAATGATGATCTTAGAGGTCCTTTCCAATCTTAATGATTCCTAGTTTTTACTTTCATTATAAATGATCCGGCCACCAAGCCAGGAGGCGTGGGGTTGCTACTCTACCCCTGATTGGTTTAGTGGTGGACTTGGTAATGTTAGGTTAATGGTTGGACTGGATGATCTTAAAGGTCCGTTTCCAACCTAAATGATTCTATGATTCTAAGCGTGAATGAATGTCTTAAATACCTTCCCTTGATCTACAGCTGAATTTGCTTCATATTTCATCAGCTTCTTCCTTGAAACCAAATGTGCTCAGGTTCAAAGAGATCCTGAGCTGAAAACTCTGTACTGGAAACGTTCTTTTCTTTTCTTCTGCCTGCTAGGGAAAAAAACCCATCCTGAAATGGAAGCTGCGAGCTATCCCATGGTTGGATTATTATCCTGTGGGCTTAATGAGTCCAGACAGAAAATATAAGTTGAAAATATAAATACTGAACTTGGCAGACTGTCTATAATTAATTGTTCCCTTCATTAGAATAAAAAACCTTGATAACTAGTATTTTATCCCCAAGAACAGTGTTGAATGACCATGCTGCGTATTGGTTACTTCAGACTTTGTCCGTCTGAAGTATACCAGTAAATACATTTGTGATCATAGTCGAGTGGGCTACAGGTTCTAAAATATGCTCAAGAAGCATGGTGCGAGTAAATAAGTTGGTAAATATATAAATGTGTATCATACAGAGGAGGATTTATTTAACTGCCTTCCCAATTGCTAATTGCAGGTGTTAGGTATATATCTGATTAAGGGGGAAAATATTAGAATTCTTGCTGTATCTACAGGTGATAAAGCAGTGTCTGGGGCTTGATTGAACAAAGCAACAATCTGAGCCTGAGCTCGTTAACCTGCTTTTGCTAAGTGTCTGCTTTTCATTACAGATTCAGCATATGTACCGCTGTGCTCGGGTTCAGGGCCTTGACACCAGCGAAGGGCTGCTTCTCTTTGGGAAAGAGCACTTCTATGTCATTGATGGATTTACCATGACAGTGACCAGAGAAATACGGGATATTGAGACACTGCCTCCAAAGTGAGTAGATTAATTGAGAGTTTCCTCAATCTTTAATAGGTGAACAAGAAGTATTTAATGACATTTTTGAGGAGTCAACTCCAAAATAATGTGAGATTCAGAAAGACCTCAGGAGCAGTTTCCTCTGTGCTCACAAATCGCTCATTGTAGCGTGGTATATTGTGAAAATCTTCTTTTTAATCACTTTTCTCTTGCCTGTTTATGCTCATTTACAGGATGCATGAGCCAATTATACCTAGGGGAGCAAGGCAAGGTCCAAGTCAACTCAAAAGAACATGCAGCATTTTTGCATATGAAGATATCAAGGAAGTACATAAAAGGAGATACCTTTTGCAGGTAACTTGGACACCATATTTGAATTGAGGAGCCAACTTTGGAATTTGATGATGTCATTTTTAAAAAGTAAAATAAATACGTAACTGATTATTTGGAACTGAGTATTTGGAAAGTGAAGATATTTACTGTGTTGAAATTGAAGTGCTTAAGTTGGGCATCCCTGTTTGAACATTTGGCCTACTGTGGTGTAGTTTATTGGGTGTATTAGTGAATTTTAGCATTCTGAAAATAAAACATCTGGCCGCACTAAGCAAAATCTGCTTCACCATAATTTGGTGTCAGATGTAGTACAGCATCACTAAACTAGTCTGCACCTGATCTTCAGAGGTGATGAGCAAATGCGTTAGTGTTGACATGGGTTTGTCCTCTTTGTTTGCAGCCAATTGCAATTGAAGTTTTCTCTGGAGACGGACGGAACTATCTTCTAGCTTTCCAAAAAGGGATTAGAAACAAAGTTTATCAAAGGTATTGTAAAATAAATTAGAACATTTAATCTGAGTATTTTCAAATATCTGTGTTGAGCCATATTTGAGCCTACAAGTGACCTAGTAACCTGAAGCAGATTGCAAGAGGGATGGGTGTTAGGCAGTGGATAACCTGATAGCAACTTAGTGCTGCACGAAAGAACCACCAGGAAGCGCTAGTGCCTGCATGCAAAACTTGCGGTATGCGTTCAGTGAGAAAAGGGTCGTTCCAATTTTGTTGAAGATGTTATGTAGCTGCTCAAAACAAAGCCTGTAACTGTACTAAACTCACTCTGTTTCTAAGGAGAAGACATACTGAGGACAGAAACACTAATCTTAATCTCCTTTCAACTGCTGATACAGGTTTTTGGCTGTGGTGCCATCTCTAACTGACAGTTCGGAGTCAGTGTCTGGGCAGAGACCAAACACCAGCGTAGAACAAGGGTAGGTGATTCTATTCCTCACAAGCTCTACAGCTCATCAATGATGCTTGCATTAAGGTCACGATTCACTGGAGAGTACTGCAACCTCAATTCAAAATTACCAAAATAAATAACTAGTGATGTTGTGCTCCAGTTATTTAAAATGTACTAATATAATTGGCAGCATTGGTATATCTTCTTACTAATTAATATATGCTATCAGGATTAACGTTATCAGTGTATGGATGTGTTCTGAACGGAATTGCAATGCCAAAGGCATTAGATTTGTCCAAGTTGTTAAAGATATTTTGCTCATCGTCAGCCTGTTAGATAGATTTGTACTTGCACTGAATTGCATAACTAATGTGCATAATTTTAATGCTGTATGTTTAGAAATCAAAAGGCAGTGCTAAAGCAAAAAGGAACAAAGCCCCATTTTTCTAATTACTACAATTTACATTACAATTTAATCTTAAAACTTTGGATTGTCCTGTGAAGATGTAACCCAGATCTTACTGCTAAGTCAGAAAATGCACTTTCTTCTTCCCATTAGGTCTGGCTTGCTTAGCACTTTAGTGGGAGAAAAATCTGTTACTCAAAGATGGGAAGTAAGTATGAAAACTTTGGTTGCTTTTTTGTATTAAAGTCCACATTTTGTAGTGATATGTAATTAATCAGTGCACATAAATTTCATCCTCTTATTCAAACAGGTGGAATATTCTACTGTAGAAAGCATATCTCAACATTTTGTTTGTAGTATCTCATGATACTATCATCAAATAGGAAATGGTTCTACTGTTGAAAATGCAAGGGGAGGGACTATAGTAAAAGTAGAGTGAGCATTGTAATACTGAAGTAAGTTTTGTATGTTTGGGGAGAGCTGAACGCTTTGACAGTCTGGCAGTGTAGACATTTGATTGTTGTAAAGTGAACACTTTACAGTGCTGTTATCTGTCTTCCTTAAGAGAGGAGAAATCAGTAACTTCCAGTACCTGATGCACTTAAACACTCTGGCGGGCAGATCCTATAATGATCTCATGCAGTACCCTGTCTTTCCCTGGATCCTCGCAGACTATGATTCAGAGGTAAATAAAATATCGTCAGCCTTGTCAGTAATCTTTTATATGTTGGAGGGTTTGCAGATATTACAGCTGGCTCATACTGCCTTGGTAAAACCAGTATGTTTGATTCATCTGTTTTGTAAAGTTCCTCCCACTTATCAGTGGGGTAGGATATTAGAGATTCTTGGCTGTCCCATGCAGGCAGGTCCTTGCCTGCACTGATTTTACAGATGTTACTGGACTGTGCACAGGTGAGAGCTGGGATACATAGCTTGTTCTAAGGCAGTTGCCTCTCTCTGTTGCAGCAGTTCCTGTAAGTCTTTGCATTAGCTTTCTACTGAATATCCTGAAGGACACTGTGCCCACAGAGAAAGCATGCTTGTGCAGAAGACTGTGGTAGGGGCTACTATGGAATCTGGCCCCACGGTGAAGAATTTGCTCTTGAAAAAGATGAAACATCCTATTAATGCTTTTGCGGGCAGCTGTTGCTACCAGCCAGACCATAACGTAAAATATTGTTAGGGTGTATGTCGCGTATTCAAGAATAGAATTAGGGAGAGTTGGGGGACAGGATGAGGGGAGCAGGGCAAAAATTATCCGGAGCCCAGATGTGACTTAAAATAAAAAACACTGACTCTCTCAGATCAGACTGAAGGACTGTTTTGAACATATCCAATATTGTACCTGCTGTGTGTGTAGAAAACATAGATGACAGCCTTAGGAGGTATTTGGTGTTAAATATGGTAGTCAGTAGTGTTGAAAGGGTTTGTTTGGTTTTTGGGTTTTTTAATAAAATTGGTGTCTGTTTTATTTTTAAAGGAACTAGATCTTATGAATCCCAAGACATTCAGAAACCTGGCCAAGCCCATGGGAGCTCAAACAGAAGACAGGTTAGCCCAGTACAAGAAGCGATACAAAGATTGGGAAGATCCCAATGGTAAGTAATGATGCATCCTGCAGGAAGAGCAGAGGTACATGGGCCTGTCACATGATGGTAGGGAGTCATGGATTTTTATATTATTGGTCAAGAGGTCTGGATGTGGATATGCAGAACTCTACTGTGGGTTTTAGTGGCTCTCAAACAAATACTAAATTAGAGGAAAGGGGCATTGGTTTTCATGCTGTGTTGTTTGTTTTAAATCCAAATGACAGCATTTTTTTTTTTTTAAATGTAAAAATAAAGACAAAACAGTTGCACATTCAGAACAGTGTAACATTGTCTAAAGGCTAGAATGGGCAGGCACATGAAGCACGCAACCAGCTGTCTCTACTAATACAGTTTGAGTGCTGCTGCAAGAAAATAAGTTGGACAAAGGAGCGGGAATACTTCCGCATTAGTAGTACTCTCGTTTTTTCATTTCTTATCTTAATACCTTTTTTTTTTTGCTAAGGAAACAGCATTTTCTTAGCTTAAAAAAAACTCATAATGAGATGCAATTAAGTTATGTATTCTTGATTTTAGAGCTTCCTTATATATTGAAAATAAAACTTGTGTGTTTGGCAAGGCAGCTATTACATGATACATTTCTTCTTGAGTGCTTTTATTGAAGACACAAGCCTGTTTACTGCAGTGCTGTACTGTATCAAACAACAGCAGGTGGCAAAGACGTTCATTTCTAGAAATGAATCCGTATGTTCTAAGTGTATTTATGCAGACTTTTTGCTAGGAAATTAAGAAAGTGAAAGCTGTACATAATCTGTAGCCAACAATTCTGAGACGTATTTCTGTCCAAGCCTTTAATTCTACAGTAACCAATAAGACTAAAAGTTAAAAAAAAAAAAAACAAAAAAAAAACCAAAGTCTCGTCAGCAGAAATCACCATAGCTGCGCTGCAACATTTCAATTAGTTAAAATGAAAAATTACTAATCATTCAGTATTGCTCTGCAGAAGCCCATTGAGTTAGGGCTACTGGACTGCAGCCAAAACTCAAGTGGTGGCCATGACAAAACATAAAGCTTTCAGATTCTCAAGACTGAAAATTACAAATTCTAATTTTAAATGTGTCCAAGGTCACAGTGTAATTAAAATGCAGCACTAATTAATTTTTTATTCAGTTAGTACTGATTCTGTCACATAACTGCTTTATTTGTTCTATGTTTATGATTTTTAAACTTCTGCAGGGGAAACTCCAGCTTATCACTATGGGACCCACTATTCATCGGCCATGATAGTGGCTTCTTATCTTGTCCGGATGGAGCCTTTTACTCAGATTTTCTTACGGTTACAGGTAAAAATTACATTACGATACTTTGTGTTTCTTTCCTGCAGTACATTTGAGACCTAAGTGAAAAATATGATCAATAGGCTTTGTTTTCATTAAATATGGTAGAAGAAATATTTTTAGCAGAGTTGTTATTGCCTGGGAGGTTTTTGATGTTTCTTCGTAAATTATGTAGTGCAATTCACTTTTTTTTTCCTTGTAGTTTGAATATTTTTCTAAATGTATGCAGAACAAAATAGCAGCAGACAAAAACCAAAGCAAGTTTTATTGTGAAAAATACTTTGCTCATCATGCTTTATTTGTCTGTTGTTGAAAGAATCATATGCCAGTTGTTTAGTTCTGTGCTGGAGGTGTTGAAAGGTTGTTATTTTAAACCAATATGTCTATCCAAAGAGCCATTTTAGTACTGAGTGTTAAAATAAACAAATGCTTGCAGAGCCAGGAATTGTTTGCCAGCTTGATGGGTAATGGGGTTTGAAATATTACATGTCAAATATTTTCCTAGACAGAAGCCATCACGCAAAAAGAGTTTCTCTAGAAGAGACTAAACGTTGAAACAGGACTAGATGACTCTCTTCTTAAAATTTTGTATATCTGTATCTCAGTGCTTTTTGTTTACTATTACTGTGTACCAAAAAGTAATCATAGAGTCATAGGATGGTTTGGGTTGGAAGGGACCTTAAAGATCATCTAGTTCCAACCCTGCTGCCATGGTCAGGGACTCCTTCCACTAGACCAGGTTGCTCAAAGCCCCATCCAGCCTGGCCTTGAACACTTCCAGGGACAAGGCATCCGCAGCTTCTCTGGGCAACCTGTTCCAGTGCCTCGCCACCCACATAGTGAATAATTTCTTCCTTACATCTAACCTAAATCTACCCTCTTTCAGTTTAAAGCCATTACCCCTTGTCCTGTCACTACATGCCCTTGTAAAAAGTCCCTCTCCAGCTTTCTTGTAGGCCCCCTTCAGGTACTGGAAGGCTGCTATAAGGTCTCCCTGGAGCCTTCCCTTCTGCAGGCTGAACAACCCCAACTCTCTCAGCCTGTCCTCATAGGAGAGGTGCTCCAGCCCTCTGATCATCTTTTTTGGCCCTCCTCTGGACTTGCTCCAACAAACAGGTCCATGTCCTTCTCATGTTGGGGGTCCCAGAGCTGGATGCAGTGCTCCAGGTGGGGTCTCACGAGAGCAGAGTAGAGGGGAAGAATCGCCTCCCTCAACGTGCTGGCCACGCTTCTTTTGATGCAGCCCAGGATATAGTTGGCTTTCTGGGCTGCGAGTGCACATTGTTGGCTCATGCCCAGCTTTTCATCCACCAGGACCCCCACGTCCTTCTCCTCAGGGCTGCTCTCAATCCATTCTCTGCCCAGCCTGTATTTGTGCTTGGGATTGCCCCGACCCGGATGCAGGACCTTGTACTTGGCCTTGCTTAACTTCATGAAGTTCACATGGGCCCACCTCTCTAGCCTGTCAAGGTCCCTCTGGATGGCATCCCTTCCCTCCAGCGTACCAGCCCCACCACACAGCTTGGTGTCGTCGGCGAACTTGCTGAGGGTGCACTCAATCCCACTGTCCATGTTGCCGATGAAGATGTTATACAGTGCCAGTCCCAATACAGACCCCTGAGGAACACCGCTCATCACTGGTCTCCATGTGCAGCTGTCTAAATCCATTGTGTTAGAGGAAGTAACGTGCCTCATTCTGTAGTGTCTTTATTAGGCAGAGGATGTTCTGATTCACCTTCTTGGCAAAATCTGCTGTGCTGAGAGATACTCCGATGTTGACATGCTTCTTGCTCTGTCCCACAGGGCGGTCACTTTGACCTGGCTGACCGAATGTTTCACAGCGTACGGGAGGCTTGGTATTCAGCGTCAAAGCACAACATGGCAGACGTGAAGGAGCTCATCCCGGAGTTCTTCTACCTCCCTGAGTTCCTGCTCAATTCCAACAATTTTGACCTAGGTAGGCAGAAGGAGCTTGATAGCATTGCTACGGGTGCAAGAGCAGTGCCAGACAGCCCGACATGAGAAAAGTAGCTCGTAATATGGGCAGAAAAAGATCTGTCTAACTGCATGAGAAAATGATAGATGACTTGCACATTCTGACATGAAAGCATAAGCAGGACTACTTCTGGTATTTCCTGATACTACATGCTTATTCAGTGTTATAGTTGAAAGTCTGAATGATTCAGAACTCATCGTTTCATCAGGAATAGTGTAGCAGGAATTCTTATTTCCTCTGTGATACCTCAGATTTATTTTTTCAGATTTATCAGACTTAAGATATTTTTCCAAGCAGTGAGTTGTTCATTTTAAGCAACTCATGCAAAGTTTGTTCTGAGAACTGCTGAACAAGACACTAAAACACCCAAAAGGATTTTTGTTTGGAGTGGCATGTTTTAGTTGCTTTTTGGTCTTTTTACCAGTTCAAAACACACAGAGAATCATGTTTTACTTGGAGTTTCTCTGGTTCACATTTTTCTCCGTGTAACTTGCTACTCCATGATGTTGTTCACCATCTTTTTTGCATATTTTTTTAAGGTTTGCAAAATCTGTTTGACAGTCTTCACTTTTAGAACTTCCTCTTAAAGTATTAAAGGTTTTGTTGAAATGTTGCACCTAGCTTTTGTGAGTGTGATTATTCAACAGGAGTCAAATTTCACACCTGTTGGCCATAGGACATACATGTTCCTTCGTATGTATGTCACTCTTAACAGTGGCATTAAGCACTTATTTTCTGAGCTCTGTGCTGTGAATCTAATAGCAATAATAAAGATTAATCAAGTCATAGGTTTTAATGACCTCAAATCCTTTATTCAAAATGTATTGTAAGAGATTGGAAGCACAACCTTACAAAAACAAAAGCAAAACCAAAAGAACACCCCACAAAACCTCTCCCAAGTATATTTCACACAGAATGGTATGGTCATTGCCAGAAAAATGTTGAGGTCTTGTCCACTTAGCTCTGTATCTAATAATTTTGGACTGTGACCATCAGAGTCCTAGAAATTCTTCATTGAGCATTTGGAACAACAATAGAAAAGGTTTTGTTATGAACAACTGTCAACTGTTAATTCATAGCAGTCCTGCTCCCCTTCACCCCAGATAAAAAGAGAGGAAGATTCAAAGTCTGGTGATGCAAGCAATGTTTCTGTTGGAGCAATGTACTTAGTACTTGTGTACCCCTGTAAACTTTGAAGTTTATGGGTGTTCCTCTGAGGTAGTAGGAAGCATGGAATTGTCTCTTGGCAACAAGTGACAAAACAAGAATATAGCTGGGAAGTCTTAACAGATATATTTTAGTAATCGCAACATGCCACCATTTAACATTCAGAGTGGGAAGGGGGCTATCCGAGAGCCAGATGAATGTCTGTGGCCAGACCATGCCCAGGGGAATCACCAGTGTCCTTGGATGTGAAGCTTGTGGGGATACCAGTTAGCTCTTCACTGTAAGGAAATGAATATTTAACCTGTACTCCTGTGATGTGTAGCCGTTCTCATGGGTAAAACAATAATTCCATTCCTTGATAACAGAATGTTTGTATTGTGAAGAAAATAAATCCTGGGATGAAATACTGTTCCACCAAGGCTTCTCATTACAGTTTGCTGTTACACTGTCTCGTACTAGGATTTATTTTCTTCAAAATATACTCAATTGACATACCATTGCTATATACTTACTAAACAGAGGTCAAATACAGGAAATTACATTCTCTCTTAAATTGGGGCTAGCATATTTATCCCAGTTTTCCTCATAGCATAACAACAAGGAAGTCTCTAAAAGAGATAAGAAAATGAACCTGCCTGTGCAAAACAGACAGCTGCTGTCCTAGCAGTTCCTGGTAGCAGGGTTGGCTGCTTAGGTGCAAGCTAACTGACAGAACAAGATTCTGGTTGTGCAGTGATTGCACAAGGCTGTTTTACTGGCTGTTGTTTTCGTTAACTTTTGTTCACTGCAGTGGGTTGTTCCCATGATGGGGAAAGAAAAGCAGAAGTTTACTTAAATAGAAAAATATAGGCAAAATAATCATGTTCCAAGAGCACTTGATGGAGAAATGAAGGTTTTTGAGTTCACACTGTACATTGTGAAGTTGTGAAGACTGAGGAGGAGTAATCTAATGAATGCCTCTAGCTAGAAGGGTAATGTTGTTTTGAAGAGTGTATGCTGATAGACTGTCATCATCTTCAAAAGTCTTAGCAAGGAATATTTGAATTCTTCCTCTTGCGAGTAATCTTATATGAACAACTGAGGCAGAATTTTTCATGTTTTATTGCCTGACATTTAAAAGTGACACAGTATTTTAAAGAAAAGACTGAAATGGCTTGCTTTATAAAGAAAAGGTGTTAGAATTTGATTTTTAAAAAAAAAATTTGACAGTTGCTGTTGCAGTGCAGTTTCAGTGCTTCTCTCCAAATTTTTCTTTTCTTTTTTTCTTTTTTTTCAATAGGTTGTAAACAAAATGGCACTAAACTTGGCGATGTAATACTCCCCCCATGGGCAAAAGGAGATCCTCGTGAATTTATCAGAGTTCATCGGGAGGTAATTTGCATTTTAATAATGACAACAGAAAATGTCAGTTGGGACTTTCCACTGCATATTAATCTAAGCTCAATTCATGCAGTCACAGCTACTAGCCAGTCCATGAGTTCTGAGTTGATGGCTGATTGTTGCAAAGATCTGTAGAAATGGTGTTTCCTCCCATTCCTTTTTGTCTGTGGAGTATGTTGAGGCAAGACTGACTTCAATGAAAAGCTTTATCAAAATGTAACAAGAATATGTCAAAATATATTCTACATTCTTCTTTGTGGCAGGTGTAGTAGACTCAACCAATGACCTATACAGCTAGTTTTAATGCATGCCCTTTGAATTTCAGGCTCTGGAGTGTGACTTTGTGAGTGCACATCTGCATGAGTGGATTGACTTGATCTTTGGCTATAAACAGCAAGGTCCTGCTGCAGTAGAAGCTGTAAATGTCTTTCACCATCTCTTCTACGAGGGGCAAGTGGACATATATAACATCAATGATCCATTAAAAGAGACAGCTACCATAGGATTCATTAATAACTTTGGACAGATACCAAAGCAGGTACACCATTCATAGAATTCTTACTTGCCAGATGACACTCGAATTGAAATGTGTTACTATAGAACAGGAAAGTGTTCCTAAAACTTCCTGGGAGTGTTTTTCCATAAATATTCTTCTAGTGGTGTGAAATAATTTACGTCTCCATCATAAATGCAACGAAGATCAACTTTGGGCTTTGCTTGTGAGATTAGAAATGGTTTTTTGTTTTTTTGTTGTTTTTTTTTTTCCCTCCCCTTTGCACCCTTAAAGTAAAGGCAAAATGAATTATGGTCCAACTCTAAAAATCAGCATTAAAAAAAAAAAAAAGTATGTTCCTGCTGCAAAGCCAGAGGGGAGCAGTGAAAGTGCAACTTCCAAGTAATGCCTGGTGTTTAGGTATTTTAAGTTATCTTGTAATAAAATAATTTCTATAATAACATGCTTCCTTTTTTTTACACCAGTCTCTTGGCATTTTGCAGAGTTTGGCTACATCTTTTACTTGAAGAATCTGTTGAAAAAAACGTCAACATTTAAATTAAGACGACTGACTTTTGTAGGACAGCTATAGTTAAAGAGCTATATAGACGTATTTTTGGTGTTCCCTTTAAGAGATTACATTAGATTTAATTTTACATTTAATAATTTAAAGTTTTACTGTGTGAGTTTTTAGGTTTTTTGGGGGGTTGAGGGTTGCTTTCTTCCTCTTTTTTTTTTTTTCCTTCTTTTTTTAAATTAGGCATTCCTTTAGGGTGTTTTTTTACTGTCCAGTGAAACTTCTAAATGTCATCAGTGAATTTTTCCAATCCTAGATCTGGTGGAAACCACAGTTCACTGGGACCCAGCCCACGTGTTGGGAACTCTAGATGACAGCAGCACATAATATTTCAGGACAGCCACAGGATATTTCTTGTGGGGACCCACTAACAGCTGTCTGTGTCTCATTGCTTGGAAGGAAGGCTAGGAACTGCTCATCTATCCTCTGGGCTGCTTTTCTCCTTTTCCTGCCTCGCGCTCTCTCAATAGTCTAGATATGTAGTAGCTGTGGGGTTTTCTCCTCTTTAAGTAATAATCAATCACTGGGATGTGATGATAATCAGACATGGCCCAGCTAAAGCCAGATGAACAGATGAAGACAGGCTGAGAGCAGGGCAATGGAAGAGCATTGCAGCTGAGTCCAAAGGTCTGCCTGAATCTTCAGATGCCTGTTAGCTACAAACCTATGATGAGATCTACCAGAAGTTGCATGACACTTTGCTAGAGGAAATGGGCAGACTGCAATAAACTCAGGAAACTCAAAACTCCTTCCTTATGTCATTTTTGGTGGTGAGTGCTCTTGGAGCACATTTTTATGTAACTGTAGAGTTTTGCTAATGACCCTCTGACTTTCCACAGGGGTCTAGGGCAGGCTATCTCAGTGACATGGCTGCTGTGCACTTTTTCACTCCTTTGCTGCATGGAGATGTAACATGAGGACTATGCCTTCTTTAAGATCCCACCTTTTCCACCAGTAATGCCTGTGGTAGTTCTGTTTCCCATTTTAAAAAGTTGTGCTGCAAAACATTCCAGAGCTGGTGCTGTATTTGGAAGAGGGCTCTCACAGACTCTGAGGGGGTCCCGAGATGCCACAGCCTGGGGGGCCAGGGCAGAATGAATAAGCAAGAGGAACAGTTGCTCAAAGGAGGAGGGAGGGTTTTTTTTCTTTCTTGCTGGAACTGATATTTTTTGAGATCAGTTGTCCATGTGAACACTGTATGATGTGCCTTCTCTCTCCATCTTCTCATAGCCCGATGGGAGGCATACCGTAGTTCAGGGAGAGCTGTGGCATGTAGGCCTGTTGTTACCATTCGTACCCAGAGTGTAGGTGTGAGCAGTAGAAAAATGTGTGCATGCTCATAGCTCAGCTACCTCAGGCTTATGCATGTTCCCTCTGCTTTGGATAGGCAAACAGGTAACACATCTCAAAGGGCTGTAAGGAGAACAACTTTCAGCCTTGTTATTTCAGTTCTCCTTTCAGCGCTGTAATAGCCTCTCTGCAAAAGAGTAATCAAAATCCTACAAAATATCACTCAATGTTTATGTTTGTCATTTACATATTATAATACATAGCATCTACCATCCAAGATGTTTATTATGAATTTATCATGTGATAAGCTTTAGTGTGTGTTATGACGATCTTATTAGAAGCAATGATCGGTGTCATGGTTTAGCCCCAGCCAGCAACTCAGCACCACGC